TTTTTTTTTTTTTTTTTTCTATAATTTCGAGGAACATTTCCACGATGTTTGGAAATTTGGAAAGTTTCAAATGAAAATCCTTATCGTCGATCGATCTTCGTTATCAATTACCTCTAATTTCTTATGGAATACACTTGCGTTTCGATTTCGTTTGAATTGGCAGTTCTCGACGAATTGGCAGTTCTACGCTATCTCGATGAATTTTTTAAAGAAGAAGGATTTGAAGACACGGGTTTCTCTTTTTTGGTATGATTTTCGATGAGGCGTTAGGATATGCCAATGTGAGGTAATCGACGACGATCGGGATAAATGGAAATATTGTACAATGTCCCTCGCGATATTTAGGATTTCGTTGGCACTCACAGACACTTGCAGATCGCGCTGTTCTATGGAATCTTGATTGCTAACCCTTTGACATCTTGTATTAGAAGACTTTCTATTGCTTATGATAAACTAAATAAAGCGAATTTCTAATTTTTTTTAATTCATTTCTTCTGATTCTCTTGGGAATGAAATATTTGCAAATTTGCGTGCAGCAGAACTCCATTTATCATTAAGTTAACGCTCAAGTCAAACACCAATTGTCATACAAACTTATAGCAAATGATCGATCCAATTATTCAGGAAACACTGTACTTCCCTATAAAATTCATTTGCAATGTTAAGAAAGAAATTTGGTTAAAAACTACGATATGTCACTTCATATTTTCAAAGAATCATGTCAATTCATGAATAAAACAACACATGATATGCATTCACATTCCAATAAGGCTTCAATCAACTAACTTACTATACAACAAGAAACTGATTCAACTATAATCTACTCACAATTTTTATCGCTAACTCCCAGTACCAAAACAAGACAATTATAGTCACCTTATAGTCTTCTTCATAAAAACATTCGAGACTTATCTCTGAACAAATTCAGATAAACGGAGGTGAAATTTTCTGAATAAAAATTCATAGAATACAATATCAACGCTAAATCATAGAACGATCAATTCTACAATTCTGTCGCTTAACTTCAAATTTCAATTTTGACAGCGAAGGGTTACGTGGACCCTCTTGGAGCGCGCTCTCTGCAATTTATTTACTCTCGCACATGCACTCGGAAAACTTACTTTAGGCGGTATCTAAACTGGCATCAAGATACTTTACACGAATGTACAAAAGTCTTCCTACACCGCAATCGGAATGTGTACCATAACTCGTTCGTTTGTCTGTCCCTACGCACTATTTACGAGCTAAGTTAATTAGAAAAAAGGGGGGCTCCGTTCTCGCCTCGCCAGAATTTTCGAGTCGTTGGCAACGGATCTCCATGCCCGAACTGGAATGTAACGAGCCTCTGTAAGCGCTGAGGATACGACAGAGAAACGAAGGACGATCGGCGAATCGTTGATTTATGAATATTCATCGATCATCAGAAAGGACCTACTTTTTCCCTGCTGATTCATTCGTGACAAGAGTATCTCGTTAGTTTTTACAGTTAGAATTCATCTTGAGAATTGACCTTGCAAACGGATATTCTTGAAACGTGCGCGTTTATCAAAAAAGTTTCTACTTAAGATTTACGAATATCGAAATTTCTTTGCAATTATTGTATTTTGAGAATGATAAACAATTCTTGTGTAAAGAATTGCTAAGTTCAATATTCTCGAGTACAACATACAATGTTTCCAGGCAATTCTGAAATAACTCATGAAAACTCACGAATTGATAGGTTGAGTAGATTTTACAGTAAGTTTGATATGTTCCAAATATGTTACGTCTTCGTGTGTTCCCATCAGGATCAGTTTTAAAATTACTTCCTACCAGTTATATTAAAAGAACGAACATAGTTTTGTGCAGCTACGTTTGAGCAATCTCGAGTAATAGTAGACTTACTATTAAACAACTGGAGAATATAAATTTTGACCACATTTTCTAACACACTTCGACTCTTGTCTACTTAAGTACCTTCAATTCCCTACAATTTTAAACTACTTAATTTTAATCCCACCGTATTACTCGTCCTCTTACCTACGTACAAGATACAATTTCTCTAACATTCCAATAAGAAACAGGAAGTATACAAAAAGAAAGAATGCAACGAAAAAATCGCATTTCTTATTAACAAACGTACGAAACATTGAAATACTTCTTTTCCTTGTTTATCGGAGAGAAATTTCGATTCGAATGGAATAAATCAGCTTGCTTTATCGCTAAACGCTAAGATTTTCACTTTGAGTGGATAGACTACTCTGAGCATTCTTTCACAATCAACGATTCGTCGTTTTCCAATGAAAGTGAAGCACCACGTCGTCTCTGAGATGGCACTCACTCTGAGCATTCTTTCACAATCAACGATTCGTCGTTTTCCAATGAAAGTGAAGCACCACGTCGCTGCCATAAGCAGCTTACACGAATCGCTCGATCCTCCTTAAAACAACGATCCACGGACGAAAGCGACGATCGAGGCTTCCGCAGAGATCGATACGGTCGCGTTCGCCCGTTTAACTCGAGCAATATGAACATCCTCCTACCTCCGTTTCACACGCTTTTCGCTGTCATTGATGCATTGACACGTTCGCCGCCGTAAACTATCCTTAAGTTAAAAATTTCTGGAACAACAGCTCCTCCTGATTCGTAAGTACTTCCGCAATGCTACACGTAACTAGTATGTCTAATTAAACGAATTTCTTTTTCCTTTTTAACACAACAATACTACGAACTACGTTTTCTACGTGGAAACACAGTGTCGCTTGTAATTATTCTAATTTTATTGCTGGATAACTTTAATCTTGGAACGTAAGATTTTTGCCATTTCTTTGTTCCTTGGTGCCGAAATTTTTACCGCTTAACGTTGGAGAATTCTAATTTTATTTTTGATAACTTCAATCTTAGAATATTAGATCTTTGGTGTCTTTATATTTCTTATGTGAAATGAAGACGAGTTTACTGGAAATTTTGACTGTTTAATATCGGAGAATTCTAATTTTATTTTTGATAATTTTGATTTTAGAACTTTAGATTTTTGGCATCCTTATATTTTTGATATGAAATCAAGACGAATTTACTGGAAATTTTTACTGTCGAATATCAGAGAATTCTAATTTTATTGCTCGATGATCTCAATCTTGGAACATAAGATTTTTGGCATCTGCATATTTTTTAGGCGAGATAGAGACGAATCTACAGGAAATTTTTACTGTCCAACGTTGGAGAATTCTAACTTTATTTTTGATAATTTTAATCTTGGAACGCAAGGCATTCGGTATCCTCATATTTTTTTATATAAAATAAAAACGAACTTACTGGAAATTTTTCTGTCGAACGTCAGAGAATTCTAATTTTATTGCTGGCTATTTTTAATTTGGAAATATAAGATTCTCGGAATCTTCATATTTTTTATATATAAAACGAAGGAGAGTCTATTCTCTCAGTATTCTAATAAACAAAAAATACATACTTGAATATTAGCTGCAATCATTCTGAAAATTAAGTTTAAATTTCTCCAAAGCAGTTTCTTTTTCAAACATCCAATTCCTTCTTTCTCGAGCTACGAGTTCTCCGATATTGCCATCGTACCCTAGCTCGTACATTATCTCGAATAACGACCAGCGACAAAGTGACATCCAATTTCTACGAAACAGCGGCCAATGAACACGCAGCCGATGCGAACAGAATCAAAAGAACGCTTTTAAAGACTACCGAACCAGATAGAGGAAGATTAGAGGGTCTTTCTTGCACACGTCCACCGGGGAAGCTTGCAATTCTTCAATGCCAGCGAAAGCGTTCCTCGAGTGTGTATATCGGCACCTGTTCACTCTCCAAGTGTCTCATCTCTCATTGTACACCGGTTAGTTACAGTTTATATCCAAGGGACCATTTTCTCTCTTCAATCACCCTTAAAACGACGTTTCTATTGCACTTCGTCCATCTTACAGTTAGTGATTAACAGCCAATGATCGGTTGTTGGATCGTGTATCGTTTTCTTCTTCCTTTCTCTTCGTTTTTTTTTTTTTTTTTTTGTTTATTCACCGAAGCTATTTCAATGGTTGTTCCGCTTCGTGTCGATCAGGTTCTTCGAAGAAGAATTCCGCGCGTTTCTTCTATCGTCGTACAGTCGATCTTTGAGCGTCTAATAGCTGGTTTTGAATTTCGAGGTGTTCGAGCCCCGATACCACGACGTCTATCTGCCGAAACGAGTCTTGGCGACGGAGTAACGTTGAACAGACACCCATGAACCGGCACGATCGAACTTCCGGCCGAGATTTTCCGACTGGCGACGCGAGAAGGCGCGATATCACAGCTTCGAAGGGTCGTAATTCTCGAACGACCACCTCTGTCTCGCTGCAACAGGCGAACATTCTTCCATGATCAAGCGCTGCTTGCTGTCGGTGATCGCTAGACACTTGTCGCTGCTACCGTGTCTGATCTGCTTCGTCTGAAAGTGAAACGAACGTTTGTTATTATTCTTTTTTTGTGATAACGAAAATGTGAATTAATTGGTAATAAGGAATTTCTCTATCGTTTTCGTGGGGCACGGGTATTGTTTTTATTTGTAACAGTTATTTGTAGAAGGTTGGGTGAACGTTAATTGTTAATGCTTTTAACGAAGCTAAATTTATCTTCGAAGGATAAATTGCTAATTCGTATTATTGAAGGTAAAACAGATCTGTTCTGCGGTAGATTACAACGCACGTGTCACTTTGTACTATGTTCAGCTCAAGCCATAAGCAGAGTAAAATTATAATGTATGGTGATGTTAGAAGGATTACGTTGTTGGAATACGATATTGCGGATTTTTATGCAAATTCAGATTTTTATGAATGTAATTCAAAAAACAGAAGTTAGATAGGAAATTGTTTTATTCGATAAATATTATAGTGAGTACTATATTTTGGGTTTATTCATATATTTTTGCTTATGTGCCTTCAAATTTTCCATAAATGCATAAAAATCTGCAGTATAGTTACTATAATTGCAATAGTAAAATTGTATTTTACTAGTAATAGTAATTTTTTTAATAATAGTAGTATTGCTTGACAATCATTCATTGACAATTTTAATTTCATGCATAAGGTTTCATAGTACAGTGAACTGTATAGTGAACGTAAACTTCGAACTGAACCAAAGAGTGAAAGAAGACAGGATATGAAAAGCGAAACTATTCTAACCATCTCGGATAAATTACCTAATTGTCGATTTAATATTTGCCAGAAACGCGAGTATGATACATACCTGAGGGTTATAAATCCATTGTTGATTCCCCTTGCTACCATGACAAGGATACAGGATGACATCGGTGCCACTGTAATCCAAGCACGACTCGTCTCGACGGATCTCACCGGTCTTGCTCAACATCCAGTACTGTGACAAACGATCAAGATTAATGCCTGTGGATTTTGACCTCCAACGTTTGCCTATATGACCGATGGTTCTGACAGCTGACGCAAATTCTACGTAGGGATGCGCGAGCTGTTCGAAAGAAGCCCGGAAGTGTAAACAATTGGGGGAGAAGTAGAATAGATATATTTCTTCGAGGCTTGTTCAAAAAAATATTGCACAGTATGCTTGAAGAAGTTTGTACTACTGAAAACAGTGAATTTTTAGAAGATTTATTATTTTCCTACTTGAAAGTGATATTTCGTGTGATTTGCCTGACGTACCGTTGACTATAATCACTTAATGCATTTTTCATTTCGTGAAAGATTTCCTGGTATGGTGGAAGAAGTTTCTACTACCAAAAACAGTGAAATTTTAGAAGATTTATTATTTTCCTCTTTGAAAGTGAAATTTTGTATGATTTGTCTGACATACTATTGACTATTATCACTTAATACATTTTTCTTATTTGTAAGTATTTTAAGGTATGGTTTGAAAAGTTTGCACTACGGAGAACAGTGAATTTGCAAAAGATTTATTATTTTCCTCTTTGAGAAAGTGATATTTCCTGTGATTTGTCTGACTTATTATTGACTATAATCACTTAATGCACTTTTCTAACGTGTTAAATGCATCCCGATGTTTCGTCTGATTCGAACATCTTGTAAATATTATAAAAAGTGTGATTATTTTTCTTTTTATTGAACGCGAAATATTCTCAATACCTTGTATCACGTTAAACTCAATTTCTACAAAAGTTAAACCACTTCTTTTTCGTAGAAATGAGTTACATGGAATATTCTAGAGCTTCATATTGAATTTCTTGATAGACACAGATGATTGTAAGTTTCTTTTTATTAAAAGCACACTGAACAAGGAGATGAATTTATTGAAATACATTTTGTCTTTTTCCGCGAATGAATATCGAATATTCGACGTTGAAAGAAATAAATACATTTACATGGTACAACCTTCGAGAAGATTGAGTTCGATTTTTCTTGGTGTTTGCCTAACAGTATTTGCATTCAGCAACTTTCGATTCTTTTCACGGGTGTACACAATGAAATTGTGAAATTCAAATTGTTAAGAGCAGACCTTGCAATATACAGAAGCATCGGAAAGTTATAATTCGAACGATAAAGAGGACGATTTTATTAATCGAGAGGAAATTTCATTGTTAAAAACCCATCAAAATTTTCTTCCACGATCTCTGTAGTTCCACAGAGTGCCCAGGAAGTCGTTAAACTTTTTCATGCTAAATGAAGCAGAACTTCATCTTCGTAATTACTCTAACAATCTAGCAGATTCAAATTTGCACATATAATAGCTAGTTATTACTTTGGCCGTTCATGAGTCTTAGAAAGATACTCACTTTTACAGGTAGCTAAGAAAAATTTGTCGACCAATATCAAATTGAACCTTCCGTCTCATTTAGCAAATTCCTCTGTCCATCGATGACACGATGAATATTCATAATTGAACCGAAAACGTCAATTATTATCGAAACTCAATCCCGCGTTAACATTACTCATCAAATTTCTTTATCAATGCATGTTCGATATTTGAAACGCGTTGAAATACCGAAGATTCTTTCGATCATTAATTATTATATTTTCGTTCAAGTGAAATTTGTACGATGAAATACTAATCGAATGTCTGAATGTCTGAAAGCATTTAACACATTTAGAAACGGAGCGTATTCGTGTAGGAAGCGATATCTATGGGAGATTCTGTGATAATGAATGTCGATCATTGATAATCGAGTTCACTGGACCTAGAAATTGCTCCGATCTGTTCGTACGTGACTGAATCGTACTGGTCAATTAAATCTGACATCATTCCATCAAATTGTAGCTGTCCGTAACGAGAACGGGAACGATTCGTGTTAAGTGTTTGAGTACGTGTATATTTCTGCTTCTAAGAACAAGAAATTATGTGATCTACCTTGTAATATAAAGTGTTTCACTTGAAGCAATTACGGGAGATTTTATGCTGTATCCGCTGAACGTAATTGAAAATTTGTGTAATTTTCATTAAATTTAAATACAAATTAGAGAAATGGAGGTGACAAATGGAAAGGAAGGAAATACTAAGAATTCTTGGAGCAATACAATTTCATTTTTTTATAATTATGTTATTGCTATTTTTCTAATATAAATTTCAAAAAGGAAAAAAATGATTAAAGAGGAAATGCACTTTAATGTAAAGAAATTTCACTATAGAAGAATTCAGTGTGAAGGAATTTCACTATACTGGAATTCAATGCAAAGGAATTCCACTATACTGGAATTCAATGCAAAGGAATTCCACTATACTGGAATTCAATGTGAAGGAATTCCACTATACTGGAATTCAATGCAAAGGAATTCCACTAAACTAGAATTCAATGCAAAGGAGTTCTACTATACTCGAATTCAACGTAAAGGAATTCCACTATACCAGAAAATATGACTTAATTCTTTTTTTAAGCACTAAAAATCAACTTCGAGTCAAGGCAATTAAGAGTTCACAAATTGAACTCATCAATAAAAAGCTGTATCACTGATACAGCTATACTAAATTCACCGATAATTCGACACGATTCTTCAAATATCTGAAAATTGAAAAAAAAAATATTCCATCGAATATCAATAACTCGTTAACTAATTTCTAATTTCACCAGTGTGCTAAAAAGGGAAAGCAATCGTCACATTAAAAATTAGCGTAATTCCCGTGAACATTTCTACAAAATTTCAATTTGCACGAGTGGAGGAAGCATGTGTAGCGAAGGGCTCATTAAGTATCACGAGTGGCCAGGGACGAACAGTGGCTTGTACTTATTCAAATCGTTACACGGTTGTAACCACGCTGTCAGAACCATCTGTGTCGAAAATTCAAAGGTTTTCTGCCCCTGTCGTGCAACGATAGACTCGAAAGCGGCGGGATTCGGGATAATGAAAAGCGAGGATTAACGCCATGCACCAGTTACCGCATGTTAACAACCAAGCATTACTATCTATACCCGCTCCAACGTACGTGAAGTGTATCAGACCATCATAAACAAGGATCGAGATGAGAATGACGGTAATTTACAACCCAACGACTTCCGTTCGAGAAAAATATCACCGTGTCCGGGGGCGCAATTTGCGCCACGCTCGAAGCTTGGAAATTAACACACTCCTTCGCAACCCCTTGAAATTACATTTTTCCCTATTTCCGAGAACTTTAAATAACTGTAATCGATGAACGTGAAACTTGAACGTCAAGTATCCCTTTATATTGACTTGCACTACTGAACATATATACGTCCCTTCTCTTTCTCCAATATTTACTAACTTTTATCTCGAGATGCAATGAAAAACAATAAAGTAAAACATTAAAAAAAAGACATTCCTAATGAAAGAATGTAATTAATAATTTTCTAAAAAAATCTGTTCCTTATGTATAATGCTGTACACTATAGGTATTATTTTCAGTTTAATTTTTAGTACAAGCAATATTTAAAATGTTAAATTTTTACCAATTACGTTAACCAATAGAAAGTATGTTATTCTAATGGGAATTTGCAAAGTTCAGAGTTCTAAACACCAAAGAATTCTGAATTTATGTAACAATTTAATTCCTCACAGAAAAATGCTCCAATTTGTAAGAAACAATTTCCTGAAGTTTTTCCATGCGAGCAAACATAGCTTTCCTAGCCTCGTTTATTATTATCAGAAACTCATCTTTGATAGAAATACATGGTGTACGTGGTCCATCGAGAATTCGGATACCAATCAACGCAAACACACCGTACAAGTTACAACGTTACGATGAATTTTATTCGCCACTGAACTTCGATTAGATCTTGCCACTCGCCGGACAGAATCATTATAACGAGTGCCCTAATGATAAACAACGGCTGAGCGCGGTTTAATCGTAGGACAGCAATCATCTAGCCGCGATCATAGCGTAATCTACCCTTATCTAAACACGAGTTGGCTGTCAACCGATTGTCACATTATCCGCTATCTAATTATCAATAATTACCAACCGGTAATCTCGCCTAATTGTAATGCAATCTCTCCATCTAATTGCAATCTGTCCATCGGTTGTCAGTCGCTTATTATCGAGACGTCAGTTAGCCACGCGATCATCGTTGACATTGTTCACACTGGCTCGCTTCAGGACTATCTTTTATTAGATATTCATCTAACAATTGCACGTTCATGCTGCCACTGTGCTCGTTGAGGCGCGTTGCGTGTACAACGATGGGTTTAAATAATGTTGAGAAATGCTGTTTGCCATGTTTGACGTGCTGTTGAACGTGTGTTGTCCGAGGGAGTTGATGGTTTCGTTGAATAGTGAAAAAGTAACTGATGCGTCGTCTATGTTCAGCCACGAGTCGTTGTTTAATTATTTTTTAGTAAAAATGATTTGTGAGTGCTATTATGAAACTTAGGAATTTATTATGAAAATGAGTTTGTTTGGGAATTTCTATTTGTGCTCATATTTTTAGGACCAAAAATAAATATTTATTGTGTACTAATTTTTTTTTAATTTTCTAATGGAATTTCTAGTGAGATTTATTATGAAATTATTTTCGCTCGAGGGAGTTGACGATTTTGTTGAATAGTGAAAAAGTGACCATTTACTATATCGTCTATGTTCAGTCAAAAGTTGTTAATTAGGTTTCTCAGTTAAAAATAATTCGAGTTTCCTTAGGAAATTTGTGAGTTTACTAAAAATTGTGAATTTATTATGAAAATGAGTTTGTTTAGGAATTTCCTTTCGTGCTTACATTTCTACTAACACTTTTTCAAATTTTTAAATGGAGTTAGTGAGAGATTCATAATTTTACTATAAAATTATATTATAAAATTTTTAGTGGATTTAGCGAAAATTCCGCGCTAATTTAATTAGGTAAAACAACTGCACGTCGAATTAAGTGACTGAAAATTTTATTCTTCCGAGGTATTGTGAATTTGCTAATTAAAACGAGAATTCCTCCATCCGGTACCTCTTAC